GCCCCCTGTGCTGGCATTGTCCCAAGACAGACGTGGCCTCACCTCAGTGAGGGCTTGGGTGTGACTGTGGACAGAGGTGGACAGTGGGTGGTAGGGGTCTCAGCAGGGAGTGAGGGGGTGTACAGGAGACAGAACTGTATCCACGGTCCCAGAGATGAGCACACAAGACAGAAACACAGACGCACAGACATGGATCAGGTGTGAGCAGGTTACCTCTTCCCAGGTGTGTACTCTACAGGTACCCCAAAAGAGACTGTCTGGGGGCGGCCCGACAATGCACCTCAGCCAGGGGCCCATAGTCAACATCCACAGGACAAGATGGCCAACAAGACACTACCCTCAGTCCACCACGAGGTCACAGTGGAAGGACACTCTTGTAAAGTCCTGGTCAGCACTCTTCCATGTCGCGGCCGTCCACAGCAAGGGCTGCAGCAGATACTTGAGGGCACGAGGGTACTTGGACAGGGTGCAAGGTCCCCCAGAACTCTGCTCACTCCACACTTCCTGCCAGGCAGGCCCTCAGGAAGCTGGCCTCTTGACCACCTGGGAATTCTGTCCTCACTTCCTGCCCATTTTCTCTGGAAACAGGCTTGCTACCCACTCTGGGAACCGTTTCTGAAGAAGGAGCCCACACCTCAGCCTTCTCACTTGCAGGAGCAGTTCCTAGAGCCCAGCCCATACCCCCTCATCCCTGTTCCATGGTGGCCCACCTTCAGCACCCTGTCCCTGAGATGCCCCCGACCCAGGCAGCCAGGAGCAGCTCCCAAGGCCTGGCCAACAGCCCCTCACCCCTGTTCCATGGTGGCCCACCTTCAGCACCCTGTCCCTGAGATGCCCCCGACCCAGGCAGCCAGGAGCAGCTCCCAAGGCCTGGCCAAAAGCCCCTCACCCCTGTTCCATGGCAGCCCACCTTCAGCGCCCCGTCCCTGAGATGCCCCGGACCCAGGCAGCAGGGTTCCCATGATGGGGTGCAAGCATAACGCAAGGCTTGTCTCAGAGCTCCTGGGCTCATGGGGGCTCATCTCCAGGGAGCCCAAATACCTGTCCCCAAGGTGGCTGAGGGTGGCCATGAGGACAGAAGGGAGGAGCAGTACAGCAGTCAAGCCATGCAAACACAGGAGAGCTGTGACCACGGACAGACGGACAGATGGGTAGGCTCAGAGCCAAAGCTGACAGCCACCCCTCCCCCCACGGCTCTTGCCCCAGGGAAGACCCCCAAACCCCATTCCCAGCCCTGAGGAGGTTTCCAGACTGCCACCTTGAGCCCCCATGCTAGTGCCACACTCCACACTTGCACAGGCATACGTGACCATGGCCACACACACACTCAGCACGCATGCCCATGACCTGGTGCTGCCTCACATGCGTGCACACACACACGTGCACACATACCCTGGTGCCTAGTTCACACCTGTGCTCACACCTGGCACACACCATGCAGCTGTGTACACTCACCTCATCTCTGTCACCTCTCCAGTCACTGCTCCCACTGACCCACCCTGACCCCATGACCACCTCACTGTCACCATACCGTCACTCTCAGCACAGGACACTGCTATGCCCACCATCCACTGCTGCTCGAGCGATCCTTGCAGTCACTCCTGGGACAGTCAAACACTCTGGACAGAAGCTCCAGGGTGCGGCCCGTGTCCAGAAAGGACTCAGAGGCACAGGAATGAGGGGCAGGGCTTCTGTGGGGATGGGAGGTCTCTGGCTCCTGCCTGTGACCTTAGTGTTTAAAGGCAGGACATTGATCCTGCCAGCAGGTAGAGTGGCCTTGGCCTCCTCAGGCTGACACCAAGGTGGCCAGCCCCGGCCCAGAAAGCCCCTCACTCTGGGAGCCAGGGGGGTGAGCAGCACAGGGCCCCACAGGCCAGGCCGCATAATCTGCTGGTTCCCTCCAGCTGCTCTCAGGCCAGAAGCCCCTGGCCCTGACCACCCTTCCCAGTCACCCACCTTGCACTGCCACCTCTGTGGCCCCAGATGCCCAGGGCTGAGGCAAGCGAGCAGGTGGGCAGGCCAGGACCCAAGGCCTGACTTAAATAGTGCCACACCCAGGGGCCTCAGAGCCGGGAGATGCCGCTCGGCCAGGGCTCAAGGTCCCTCATCCCCTGCACCCATCACAGCGCTCACCTGACTGGCCCGGAGCCCTCCCCCAGCCTGTGTGCCCCATGCCTGCCTGCCTCCTCCCAGGACTCTGAGCGAAGGTTCCAGAAGCAGGATGCACACAGCCCCATCCAAACTGTCAGGACTAGCTGGGTCACCTGGGCTTCAACAACAGCTGAGTCCAGGCGGCCACCACTTTCTCATTCATAAAATGGACATGTCCTGATGCTCCCCACAGGCTCCCAGCTATAAAGTGGGAACTCATCCTTTGAAGTCCCACATGAAAGCTGTCCACCCCGGGTGACCCGTTGGCCAGGGCCCTCAATGATTGCCTGTTCCAGCTGCAGGTACCTGTGACAGAGAGGGGACACCCAGGACAAGAAATTGCCCCTGAGAGAAACTCTGGCCCCTCTAGCGGTCGGAAGAGGACAGAGGTGTGTCCACAGAGGGAAGGACCAATCAGTTCTGCTCAGAACCCACCCCCTTCCCAGGTCCAGGTGAAACTATGCAGTGCATGCTGGGAAGGACAGCTCAGGGCTGCACCTGGGCCTCCTCCAGCCTCCCAAAGCCACCCAGGCCCAGAGGGACAGGACACCCAGACCGCTGCCCTCCTTCCTCTAAGGCCAGGCCACCCTCCCCCCCGCCCCAGATCCCAGACATTCCTGCCCTGGCACCAAGCCGCACACCCGGACTTAGCTCTCCTGGCCCACGGGACAGGCGTCTGGTCCCAGATGGAGTTGGTAGACTGGAAGCTACGTCACCCCTAGGTCACAGTGGCTGGGGGGCTGTGGATGGGGCAGTGCCCAAGTCCCTTCCCTCAAACGGCAGATCCCAAAGCATCTCCCCACTGCATCCCAAGCCTCTCCAGGATATGTCCTCAAGTTCAATGACAGAAAAGCCAGGGTGATGAAAAGGGTTCACCCAGGAGCCGCCTCACAGCAGAGCGACTGGACAAGGAGGGTGGCATGTGGCCCACGCTGAGGGTGAGAACAGAGGGAGTGGAGGTGAACAGTGCTGTGGCCTGACCACCTGGCCCCCCAACCACGGACTAGGAGGGGGGCAAACCAGTGTGGACACAGGGGAAGGGACACAGGTGGACAGAGCTGATCAAAGTGAAATCAGGGGTTGTCCCACCGACCGTCCTCGAGAATCATTAGTTCACATTCACTCATTCATTCCTTCCTCAGGCAGACACCCCAAGGCCGCTGGCCCAGCCTGAGGAGACAGAGGGCTCAGACACCCAGGGCCCGGCACAACAGTGATGACAGACACCCCAAGGCCGCTGACTGCACCTGAAGAGACAGAAGCCCCCCGCACAGGGAGGTCCCTGGACATGGACAGCAGAGATCCCGCCCGACACATCACTGAGTTTCAGGGCTTTAAGAGGAGAGTTTAGGGCTGGCCCATGGCTACAGGGGGCACAGTCAGAAGGTAATAATGCAGCTGTGGGGCCTGGTTGACAGCGTGCTGGCACCCCCAGGAGGCTTAGGCAGCAGTGGGCACAAGCATAGTGGGCCTGCTCCCCTCAGGAACAAGGTCCTGCCACCCAGGGTTCAGAGAGATGGGAGACAGTCCCAGCCCAGCAGCCAGGACCCGAGGTCAGCCTGTCACAGCCCCCCACCCTGGGTGTCTCTGGGTAAATCAGTGGAAGGGATGGGGGCCATGTTCTCAGGGGGGTTCCTTGTCTGCTGGTTGACCCCCAATAATAGGGAAAGAAGTAGGAGCCTTAAAATGCTACTTCCATCAGCCTAGGCCTAAGAACCCCAAGAACTGGGCAGGGCAGAGGATTGGGAAGGGGTTGGGTGCAGTCTGGGGTGCAGCTCATGCGGTGGGTCTCCGCAGGGCAGGCTGTGGTGCACACTGGGGTCCCAGGGCTATCCCTCAGGCACCCTGCTGGCCCTACCCTGAGCCCCTCCTACCAGACACCCAGGAGCCTCAAAAACAATCAGTGCATCTTTTATTCACAAATAAAAGTTGGCATGGGTATTATCTACATGTCTGTACAAAGGCCTGGCCAGTGTCTGCAGGGCACAGGCAGGGATGGGAGGCCAAGTGGGGTCACCACACGCTGACCCTCACCCACACACACCTCAGCCGTGCCCAAGGACCCCACCCTCCTCAGGTGCTCATCCAAGCCCACGCACTGCTGGACAGGCTGACCGGGGACAGCTTCATAGAAAACCGTAAAAACAGACCCTCTGCCTTGAAAACCGCACTGCAAACGCCATGTACAAAAGGAAAACCCTATAAAAATAGGAGCCTTACAGGTTTCACCACCCCGCCCAGCTTCTGGTGCTGGAGTTTTGGTAGAATTCCGGCCCTGGAAAGGGGCACCATGCCCCTCAAAGCCCTCCCAAGTGCCTGAATCCTGGGATCACCAGGACACAGGGGGCTGGTGCCCGAGGGAAGGCTGCCCTGAACCCAGGGCCCCACACAGATCCAGGCCCAGGGCAGTCAGCCAAAGGCCTGCCAAGGCGCCACCCCACCCAAAAAAAGGACGTCATCCCAAAAAAAAAGACGTCATCCTGAACTGTAAAGCAGGCCCCAGAAGGCACAGGCTGGCCGGGCGCCTGCTGCTCCAGGGCCCCTGGCTGGGCCTGCAGTCACAGCCGCTGGTGTCTTGGCATCAGATACAGGACAATACGTGTCCTGGAAAGGCACTTGTGTAGCTGCTTGGTGGCAGGGGCCTCTGTCCCTGTCCCTCTGTCCTTGTCTCTCTCTCACTTGCTCTCGGTCTTCACTGCTGCCCGCTCCCCTCCCCCATGCTCTTTCACCTCTGAGACCCCAGGTCCTGCGTTCTCCTTCCTCTCAACCTCCCTCGACAACCTCTCGTCCTTGTCCTCACAACTCCATCCTGAGACCCCCACGTGGCCCCTTGCTAATGGCCATGGGCCTCAGACGTCCACCTCCCTGGGCCCCTGGGCAGCGGCAGAAGTGGTGCTGACATCGAAGCAGGTGACCATCATGACGTGGGCCTTGCACAGGCTGACGCAGCGCTCCAGCTCAGCCGTGGCCCGCTCCATCGCTGCCAGGTACTCTGGTGACTCAGGCTCCAGCTGTGGGTCTACTTCAACTAAGAACAGAGGGCAAGGTCAGGCCCTCAGAGGCCCACCCACAGGCACCCTGTCCCGGGGGAGCTAGCCCAGGCAGGGTTCCCTCCAGGTGCCCAAAGAGGAGGGGGCAGAGAGCTCAAGTCCAAGGGGAAGGCTGAGAAGACGGGGCAAGTCTGCCCAGTGACCTGGTGTGGGGTCACTCACACTGCCTGGAGTAGACTCTGGAGCCACTCATTCCCCCCAGGGACGGACTCTGGGGTCACTCACACTTCCCAGAGTGGACCCTGGGGTCACTCACTCCACCTGGGGTGGACCCCGGGGTCACTCACTCTGCCTGGGGTGGAATCTGGGGTCACTCACTCCACCTGGGGTGGACTTGGGGTCACTCACTCCGCCGGGGTTGGACTTGGGGTCACTCACTCCACCTGGGGTGGACTCTGGGGTCACTCACTCCACCTGGGGTGGACTCTGGGGTCACTCACTCCACCTGGGGTGGACTCTAGGGTCACTCACTCCACCTGGGGTGGACTCTGGGGTCACTCACTCCGCCGGGGTTGGACTTGGGGTCACTCACTCTGCCTAGGGTGGACTCTGGGGTCACTCACTCCACCTGGGTTGGACTCTAGGGTCACTCACTCCGCCTGGGGTGGACCCTGGGGTCACTCACTCCGCCTGGGGTGGACCCTGGGGTCACTCACTCCGCCTGGG